AGAGAGAGAGAGAGATCAATATTATTTTTCAGAAGTAGATGAAAATTTATTTAACAAAATTCTCTCTTAAATTAAAAATTGTTTTAAATAAAGTTACGTAGATTTTAGTGAAAAAAAGAATTATAATTACCGGACAGTTTATTACGCATGCGTTATATATACTATTAAGTATAGAAGAGGTAGTTGTTCTGGATGTTGAAGTAATTCCTTGTCTTCCATTGGATTCGGAAGTCACTGGACCGTCAAAAACGAAGCCATCTACTTGAGTCATCTCCACAGGTCCATTATCCAAATTCTGTGATATACATTTATCAAATTACATTTCAAATATTACAATAGATCCTCGACGCTTTTTTAAAAAATACTGAAATATTATTTTCAACAAAATTATACAAGATAACTGAGATAATTTTATGGTATTGGTTTCAGAATATTTAAATAAATATTAAAATATAAACAAGTATGAGTGCAATCATCTCTTGTTTTAATCTCTTTATTCATAGAGCGTAAAATAAAGATATTCTCATCACATTAGGGAAATCCTAATTATTAAGAATTAATTGACTCGCAAACGTCATAATGTGTCATTACTTAATTATTGTGGTTACAATTAGTACAAGACATGATTATATTTCTTGACAATGTATACAAATATTTAAAGTCATTTAAATATTCTTTTCTATAACAGAGCATATTAAAGAATGTTTACTTACTTGTGGAAACGCGGTAATGACAAATGGCGATGCAGCAACTGTAAGAATTATTCAATATGATTGAGATATTAGCGCTAATTGATGTATAAGAATAACACTTTGCGCTATGTACAAAATATTTAAAATAGTTTTCTTACTCAATAATAAATAAAACAACATTTTGTTAAAATTAGTTTGATAAAAGATCAGCAATCGACGTTGTGTGATGTCTAAGATGTTTAAGATGATATCCTGAATATACGTTCGATGATGTACTGTTTGGCAGCATTTGGTTGCGCTTGCTTTTATATAGAACCGGTTGCCAACCAACGGTTCTGTCTACAATGTGCGCAAGTATAAGCGAATAGGAAATCCCCAATATAATGATATGACCTATTCACTGCATAATAATTTTCAAATTTTTTTCGAAAATAAAAGATTAAAAAATAGTGAAAATTAATATCTTTAGATTTATAAAAGATGTTTTAAAATTAAAAAAAACATACGATGCTGTTATTCAAATTCTTTTTCTAACAAAAAGTTGAAACAATAATGTTAGAATATTGGATAAGAATTCATCAGTACATTTAACAAAGAAAAAAAAACTTTTAAGAATTTGTCGTAGCTTATTCAAATTGTCTCATTTCAACAAGTAAGCGTTCATTTGTCAGATTTATTCTTATTGCGCACACATACACAAGAATGTTAGTAATATTCTACATAATTATTACCTTTGCAGTCGCGTTATTAGTAACTACAATAGAATTGTGTTATCTCGCAATACTTTAAAACCATAAAAAATTAAGAGTTGCAGTTTCTATGCTAACATATGTGTGCGTGTATACTGTAATTAATAATTGATAATCGCAGTAATATTAAAATATAATAAGTAAGTGTTCATATAATGGAGTATTAACTAATTCCCTAATTTAATGTAATGTAAATGTTACATTTTAATTTAATATAATTATAGTAGAAATATACTTTAATGTATATAACGTATAAACTTAATATAAGTATGTATAAGTATGTATGTATAAATATTCATAAGCCGTAGTTTTTACAGAACATAACAGCAATTACAAATTAAAAATGTATACACTTAAAATGTAATGGAATATATCAAACATTACTAATACATGAAGTTTGTGAAATGTTGATGCCGATGGCCAAGAATTTATGGTTTGCGATCGTATATCAGAAATTTCCTCTAATAGATGTCGTATATAAGTCTGTAACATTCAAAAAGTGACAGTTTTATCACTTGTTTATATGGACAAAAATAATAATAAGGCAAAAAGATAACACGTTTTAGGTTAATAATTAACATTTATCTTTACCTATATGTCATGTTTATCATATGGAAATGATGGCGGACCATATGGTATTCAATTACTGCTCTGCTGGATATATGGTTCACAAGACCTGATCACTCTTATCTCAAGTTCTTAAAAAATATTGAGCGCTATTAGATAATTTATTCGTCGAAATAAGAAATTATAAATGATTCAAATAGAAGTAGTGAAGAGAATCTTTATGAAAATTTATGTTAAGGAAGTTTAAGTAAATTTAATGTAATAACGAAAAAAGAACAATAGTAATGTAGCAGTAATGTAGTACTTACGTGGATTGCAATTTTTCGCGCAATTAAATCTTCCTATATTCCAGTAGGTTACGTTATCGGTGCCGCATACCGGATTGTATTCAGCAGTCGCGCTACATGGACAATTATTATTAGTAGTATTAGTATTATTGTTATTATTATTTATTGTCCTTTGCGTGGTGCTACTCGGCGTGCTGCTGTTCGCTTCATCATTATCATTAAATATTATGGAGTCATCGACGACATTGCCCGACCAGTCTCTTTGCGGGAATGCCAAGGCGACCAACCAAATCAGGGTCAATACTTGCACAACTATCGAGTAAAACGATGTGTCAGACACATGCATGTGCACATTTTAACGCAAATTTACGGACAAAAATCTCCAAGAATATTAAATAAGAGCTTAAGAAATATCTCTCAGTTTTTTTCTTTAAATATTTGAAGATTTAACAAAATCTTGTCGAAATGCGTTACTCAAATTCCAACGTATCAGTTATCCATGAAAAAAGAATAAATTTTTATTGTCTTATAGATTTGAAAAAAGTAATCAAGAACTATATTTTTGGTTACACTGTACTCACGTGCAAAAATATATTTCATGATTGTATCCGTGCGATATAGAATCCAAGTTCGAGAACGAGTAGAAATTAAACGAAAGCGTCTTAATAACACTCGAAATAACAACCGAATGACTGTCTTTAGTAAGCTGCTTTTCGATTTATATTAGTTGTCACTCTTATCTGATGTTTCCGACTTGTTTCCTTATACAGGAAAAAACCAGTAAGAGACAAGCGGTTGGGGATATCCACATTGCGTACATATTTGTTGCATTAACAGTGATTTCACGCATATAATAACCAAGTCGTTTATGGGGCGCCCCGTTTTTATCTCGTACAAATTGCTATCAAAACAAACTGAAATTTTTGTTTATTTCTGATCCTCAGTCAACACTATTATAGCTAACTTATATATTTAATCACATAATGCGCACGAAATTATTGCAAATTATTACAATTTAACTACAGCAGAATCTGTCATTAAACTGCATAATGTTGAATAATCTGGTCTTTGGTTTGCTATCACACGATAAATGACGATTTCGCTTATTATAATTTTATTTCACAGAAATATTGTAAGAGATAAAATAATAGCGTTTTCGCAGAATAAGTGAAAAATGCATTACCCTCTCTTTATCATTATAAGTATATCTATGTAAGAGCTATCCACACAAGAGCTATTAGTCTTGAAAATTATACACAATTATGGATAAATCAT